CGTGGCGTGGTTCTAACGCACCAACACTATCCGTGGCGTGGTTCTAACTCATCAACACAATCCGTGGCGTGGTTCTAACTCACCAACACTATCCGTGGCGTGGTTCTAACTCATCAACACAATCCGTGGCGTGGTTCTAACTCATCAACACTATCCGTGGCGTGGTTCTAACTCATCAACACTATCCGTGGCGTGGTTCTAACTCATCAACACTATCCGTGGTGTGGTTCTAACTCATCAACACAATCCGTGGCGTGGTTCTAACTCATCAACACTATCCGTGGCGTGGTTCTAACTCATCAACACTATCCGTGGCGTGGTTCTAACTCACCAACACTATCCGTGGTGTAGTTCTAACTCATCAACACTATCCGTGGCGTGGTTCTAACTCATCATCACTATCCGTGGTGTGGTTCTAACTCATCAACACTATCCGTGGCATGGTTCTAACTCATCAACACTATCCGTGGTGTGGTTCTAACTCATCAACACTATCTGTGGTGTAGTTCTAACTCATCAACACTATCCGTGGTGTGGTTCTAACTCATCAACACTATCCGTGGTGTAGTTCTAACTCATCAACACTATCCGTGGCGTGGTTCTAACTCATCATCACTATCTGTGGTGTGGTTCTAACTCATCAACACTATCCGTGGTGTGGTTCTAACTCATCAACACTATCCGTGGTGTGGTTCTAACTCATCATCACTATCCGTGGCGTGGTTCTAACTCATCAACACTATCTGTGGTGTGGTTCTAACTCATCAACACTATCCGTGGCGTGGTTCTAACTCATCATCACTATCCGTGGTGTGGTTCTAACTCATCATCACTATCCGTGGCGTGGTTCTAACTCATCAACACTATCTGTGGTGTGGTTCTAACTCATCAACACTATCCGTGGCGTGGTTCTAACTCATCAACACTATCCGTGGTGTGGTTCTAACTCATCAACACTATCCGTGGTGTGATTCTAACTCATCAACACTATCTGTGGCGTGATTCTAACTCACCAACACTATCTGTGGCGTGGTTCTAACTCATCAACACTATCCGTGGCGTGGTTCTAACTCATCAACACTATCCGTGGCGTGGTTCTAACTCATCAACACTATCCGTGGCGTGGTTCTAACTCATCAACACTATCCGTGGCGTGGTTCTAACTCATCAACACTATCCGTGGCGTGGTTCTAACTCATCAACACTATCCGTGTTGTGGTTCTAACTCATCAACACTATCCGTGATGTGGTTTTAACTCATCAACACTATCTGTGGCGTGGTTCTAACTCATCAACACTATCCGCGGCGTGGTTCTAACTCATCAACACTATCCGTGGCGTGGTTCTAACTCATCAACACTATCCGTGATGTGGTTCTAACTCACCAACACTATCTGTGGCGTGGTTCTAACTCATCAACACTATCCGTGGCGTGGTTCTAACTCATCAACACTATCTGTGTTGTGGTTCTAACTCATCAACACTATCTGTGTTGTGGTTCTAACTCATCAACACAATCCGTGGTGTGGTTCTAACTCATCAACACTATCCGTGGTGTGGTTCTAACTCATCAACACTATCTGTGGTGTGGTTCTAACTCACCAACACTATCCGTGGCGTGGTTCTAACTCATCAACACTATCCGTGGCGTGGTTCTAACTCACCAACACTATCTGTGGTGTGGTTCTAACTCATCAACACTATCCGTGGCGTGGTTCTAACTCATCAACACTATCCGTGGTGTGGTTCTAACTCACCAACACTATCTGTGGCGTGGTTCTAACTCATCAACACTATCCGTGGCGTGGTTCTAACTCATCAACACTATCCGTGGTGTGGTTCTAACTCATCAACACTATCCGTGGCGTGGTTCTAACTCATCAACACTATCCGTGGTGTGGTTCTAACTCATCAACACTATCCGTGGTGTGGTTCTAACTCATCAACACTATCTGTGGTGTGGTTCTAACTCACCAACACTATCCGTGGCGTGGTTCTAACTCATCAACACTATCCGTGGCGTGGTTCTAACTCACCAACACTATCTGTGGTGTGGTTCTAACTCATCAACACTATCCGTGGCGTGGTTCTAACTCATCAACACTATCCGTGGTGTGGTTCTAACTCATCAACACTATCTGTGGCGTGGTTCTAACTCATCAACACTATCCGTGGCGTGGTTCTAACTCATCAACACTATCCGTGGCGTGGTTCTAACTCATCAACACTATCCGTGGCGTGGTTCTAACTCATCAACACTATCCGTGGTGTGGTTCTAACTCACCAACACTATCCGTGGCGTGGTTCTAACTCATCAACACTATCCGTGGCGTGGTTCTAACTCATCAACACTATCTGTGGTGTGGTTCTAACTCACCAACACTATCTGTGGTGTGGTTCTAACTCACCAACACTATCTGTGGTGTGGTTCTAACTCATCAACACTATCCGTGGCGTGGTTCTAACTCACCAACACTATCTGTGGTGTGGTTCTAACTCACCAACACTATCCGTGGCGTGGTTCTAACTCACCAACACTATCTGTGGTGTGGTTCTAACTCACCAACACTATCTGTGGTGTGGTTCTAACTCACCAACACTATCTGTGGTGTGGTTCTAACTCACCAACACTATCCGTGGCGTGGTTCTAACTCACCAACACTATCTGTGGTGTGGTTCTAACTCATCAACACTATCCGTGGCGTGGTTCTAACTCACCAACACTATCTGTGGTGTGAATCTAACTCATCAACACTATCTGTGGTGTGGTTCTAACTCATCATCACTATCCGTGGCGTGGTTCTAACTCATCAACACTATCCGTGGCGTGGTTCTAACTCACCAACACTATCTGTGGTGTGAATCTAACTCATCAACACTATCCGCGGCGTGGTTCTAACTGACCTATCCGAGCACAATTATGGAAGTGCCGCTACGTCTGACGTAACCGCTCCCTCCGGCTGTTTCCCGAGTTCGATTCTAAAGTCTAACGTGCCGTAGGCAGCCCGCCATTACCTGGGCTTCTCACAATGGCTGCTTCCATGCATAATGCAGGGAGCGCCACGGGGCAGCTACGCGTGGGACAGATGCCATCAACAGTGCAGAATACGTCACTGCCGTGTCCAACGGGCCCCGGCAAACAGTCCGTGCAGCGCCCCTCTCCACTTTGCGAAAGCTCACACCCTGAGCTTGTTAACATCCATTATCCATACCAATGAGAAACACGCATTTAGAGTATTTGGCTGCTATACATTTCCGCACGGTTGGCCACTTCGTTGTGGCCAGGTTGCTTCTAAAGAATAGTTATATACCTCAGTGGGCCTTTACCTGGTCAAATAAAAAAAAGTTTACTTTATTTACACGGATGTGCAAGACATTGTAAATAAAAACAGCACTTCTGAAATGTATTCACAAGAACTAACAGTTCCCTCGGTGACTACAGACTCAATGTTGTGAAATATATTATGACCTAATGTGGGTTTGAGCAATGCTCACATCTAGGACTTGGATTTCATTGGGATTAATGATTAAAGTTGAGCTATGAGAATGTAAACTCATTGGGAACCTTTTTAAACACATTCTGAAATGTCCATATGCGCATTTCCCATCAACGTTTTATTTGTGCAGTGCTTTCCACGGCACAGCAGCCGACACGTGCTCGCTACTCCACTGCCTTCGCCAAGGTGTGACTCAACAACTCCTGCAGCTGAGACACAACTACAGCAGCAGCCACGCTGTCCAATAACACATGTTCAATATGCCACTATGCCACGGTGTCCTATCTTCATAAGCAGTGCTTTTTCCTAGAAGATACGAGAATAAGTGATCTTTAGAACAAGCTTGAATGTCATGCATGTTTGCTTGCCAATAATTGACAAGTTAATTCCATAATTTTGGAGCCAAACGGGCCAAAGTACGCTGTCCATGATTGTACCGCAGGCGAACTAATAACTCAAGATTAAGCCACCTCAAACTAGACGTTGAAACATATATCTGCTGCTGCCCTCGTATACGTAACGTCTAATGCCTGTGGGGTGAGGCCAAGCCACAATTCTTCCCATTATCCGAGGCTCAGCACTGCTATTATATTTGATGTTCATGGATTAGACGAAGGAGTTGCAGTTTGCCTGCTAAATCCATTACGTTATGCGCAGTATACGAGGAGCGAGGAGCGCTGGTTGCGCCTATATTCCAGGATTGGTGGAGATGATACTGGATGATGATAATGATGATAAGATGAACTGCATGAACAACTTCAGACCATCATCTGCAGCTGTCCACGGATAACCACGACCCGTGATGTTGATGGTGACGATGGTTGAAGATGCTGAGGTTACTGTTGTCCTCACCGCTATCTCCATGAGCTGCCCATGCGGCCACAACCACCGTGTACACTGCCGCTCGGAAAAATTCAACCTAATATCCACGATTAGCCACAAGGTAACGAAAAGATGATTATGAAGAGGATTATTGAGGTGAAAATGAAGGCTGCAATGCACAAAGACAATGGAGGGTATTGACAAAAGGTAATGAAGATCGATAATGCGTGATACTTGTGACGATGTTGAGGCTGCTGACCATCTTGAGCCACTGCTGCAGCGGTGCGGTGGCGCACATTATGCAACATTTCACTGCATGACCGTCGTCTCAAACCTCTAGCACAGACTAAGGTTAACGTCCCTTATGCACAATTCTGCTTGACATAGTCGCCTTGGCCATTGCGAATAAGAGAACCTCCATTGCAGTTACAATCGTGACTGTATTATAATGAGAGAACGTGAATTCTAAACTTAATCCATCCCTTCAAGGCAGCAACAAAAATATATTGTCAGGATAAGGGTCTGTTTACACTCGTTCAGCATCATCTCAGTGGCGTTACGGACAAAGTTTAAATTGTGGAAGTTACCTGCAGGGGCACCGGGCAGAACAGAATTACGTCACCGTCAGCAAATAGAGAGAAACCTGAACAGAGAAGTAGGGACCCTCTGTCACGCGCGTACATTTGGCTGTGCAGGGGGATGTTGTGGAGGCTGATGCTCCGCGTAAATCTTGACCCTGGGATGTCCGAGTCCTGGGTCTTCTGCCGAGACTGAGGACCCAGGACAGAGGTGCAGGGTCAGTGCGGTCGCACACACTCCACTCGCCACGCACGACTCACTCAGCAGCACATTCCCACCATTGCCAAACGAACACAATCCAGACATGCGGAGCCGACACACTCCAGGGCTCGTCTTGATTGCTGTTGATTCTTTCGTCCCTACTCGGGCGCGACACAGCATTTGATACGTGGTGGGACCCAGTGTGCAAAGACCAATGGGTTTTGTTCACGTGTTATTGCAAAGGAAGTTTTCACCACAATTTGACTTGCAAACACTGTGTTAGGTTTAGCATATTCAGTCACACGTCTTTCAAACATGAGTAGAATATTTATTTTCATAAATATGTGCCTCGGGTCTTGAAAAGTGTACATGAATAGTAATATTATATGGGTGTTATTTACATTTATTAAATGATCAATGTCCTTTAACCATGTGAGAGGCCGATTGAGATTCAATATCTCTCATATCTCATGAAAGTGCAAATAACCGGCAAAACATCTCAAAAAGTGGAAACCTTATCAGCCTTTAACTTTCCTAAGTCATGATAAATCTTTATTATAAATTTTGAAAGGGAGATTTGGGACACAATAAGGACTATTTAAAATAGTGTTTGGTGATAATACATTGTCAGTGATGCACAAGCAGAAATAAGAAAATAACCCAACACATTCATCAGTAAAACTGCCTTAAAAATAAATAAACAAATAAATATAATTGGCGACATTTCTGGAGGCCAGAGGGGTAGAGTGGATAAGCATTTTAAGACAGCAGTTTATATACCTTGAGGCCTAAGAATTGAGTAAATAATATTTACTGATTGACATTTTTTTATATAATCCACTTGGTGATGCATTCCTGGGTTCAATTAAAATACAAAGCCACTATTTCATAAGAAAAAGTATAGGATACTTAAACGTTTTATTCGATTTTTAGATTTAAAGCTTTTGTTACTGCAAGGATTCATATTCTTGGTTCTTTCGGTAAAGTCACAAAGAAGGGCTATAATAAAATAATAAAACAATACAATTCTCACGACGTTTCGATTGCAACACAAGCAATCATCATCTGATTACGTTTTATTGGAGTTATGACATTGCAATATGACAACTCTTAATGACACCGTGTGGTCTTGAAGAAGTATTTTACAGAAGATGCCGTGGTTTGGTGTTTCCCGTACAAATTACGAGGAGTTTGTGCGAGTTGAAATGCCAAGGCGTAAACCGACTCGTTGACGAATGCAACAAACATCAGGCAGGCAGCCATTTTATTTAATAACGATACTGTTGAGAGATTATTGGACAAAATGGTTTAAACTTTAATGGGGGCCCAGGGAGTGGAACGTAGCGGCTTTGGCACATTTTCTGACGGGGCAAACGCAGCGTAAATCCCTCGTGCAACCACCCCGCAGTGCTGTCATCTCCATAATCTCCGATGACAACAGCTTACCCACTCCTCACTCCCAGAACTGCATTAATACTTCGCCATGTATAATAAGGGCCTGCTGCAATTACGCCTTGAAACAACCTTTTCAGAGGGGTTTTTTTAGTTAAAGAAACATACAAAAATAAGCTACAACTATGGGGAGAATGTATTTTCTGTATTAACATACTTTATTAAAAATATGAACATGAAAGACATTTTAATATCTGGATGCTGTTATAGTGTGTGAATAGGTAAAATTTGTACTTTAAAATTTTGTAACTGCAGGAATTCATAGATTCTATCTACATGACTTTAACGAAAGAACCAAGAATATGAATGTGAATAGGTTGTCAAATATAAGTACATTAATATTCATAATAACATCATCACTGCCATCACAATAAAATAATCACTGTCACTATCATCACAAATAATGAATGCTCTCACGCGCAAATTATTTAAGCTACAGCTGAACACGTAGGCTTTAAACTATGCAAACACGGAGCTGCAGGACAGCTTGTAACGAGCTTCTAAGATCACCAGGCTTTGAGTCGCAACAGGGGCACAAAGGGAGGCTAGTGGAGCCATCCCAGCCTAAGCAAAGTCCCAGTGACATTGGGTACAATATACAAACAGGCACTCATACATATTGGCTCTTTTTGCTTCAAATTGTCAGCCGGACTATGGCGCGGAATATTTGTATCATGAGACATTGTGATTTAGTACGACACACACCAGTCTCCTGTGAGGTTCAGGGAGAACATGTTTCCCGTGAAATAAAAACAAGATGATTCACCCGCGTGGTTAAAATAACGGATCGACTCGCCGTAAAGGTCCTGCATGGCTGGGCATAGCCAAAGGGCACATACATAATGCTGACGGGGCATCTGGGGACAACTGGGACACCCTGGGTTCAACGAGGGTGAATATTTGGTGAGGGCAATCGTTACTAACCGTACTAAGGTATATAACCGGTAAATTAAGGTCATGGAGAATTACATAACGGCCAATAACAGGACGAAAGACCACGATAAAAATGTTGATTTAAACAAAGGTGTGCTTTTTCTACGCTTGAGCACATTTGCTACTATAATGATCCAAGAATGTCTGTGTGTCCCGCACATGACGTCGCTCCACGTCAGGCCAGCCCCCCTCATTAATAATCATGAGCGGGTGACGTCACTCCACATGTAGCACCCCCCCCCTCATTAATAATCTTGAGCAGGCGACGTCACTCCACATCGAACAGCCCCCCTCAGTAATAATCATGAAGAGGTGGCGACTTCCAAATGAACACCCCCCCATCATTAATAATAATTAGCGGCTGACGTCACTCCACATGGTGGGGGGGGGGGGCGAGGCGCTTCCTCCACCCTCCTCGGCGTCAACTCACAACCCTCACTACAAAGGCAGAACCCTCACGTCACGCGATCTCCGTAACGCTGTTGAGACATAGAAGTAAAAAGGACTGTCATGATGATCAAGGGATTATAACCTTTAAATGAAATAAGTCTGTGTCACCAGCACCCTTACAAATTGCACACGAATTAATGCAATGAATATCACGTCGCAGGTATGCTTTTCGCTTGCAAGTTTCAGATTTACTGAAATACACCAGTCCTTGGACGGGCAAAAACGCTAGTACATTATCATAATCCAGTTTTAGAAAATACTCATGAAATGTTTGATTAATGTAGACTATGAAGAGCACACATCTGGTTATTAAAGGTAACATCAAAGACAAGACACTGCACGATTGTGGCCATGCAACCCAAACTATGGATGAGGAATAGCAAAACTACACAAACTCTCACCTGAAGCCCTCTCGTCGTGGCTAGCAGATCCAGACATTTCGCTCCTGAACATGTTGCCATATGCAAGGATATAATGCATTTTAATTGTCTTCAGTGGAAACCAATGGAGTCATCCGGGCTCTCACAAACTGAGGCCTTAGTTAAAATTACCAAAGCCATTCATAAACACGACTTTGCATGAATTTTCGTTAAATAGCTTAAAGAACCAAGTAGAAATCAGAAGAGGGGTCAGACCAGGAGATTTGATTGAGGGTAGCACCACTGTTTCAGTTTTTTTTCAGTTCATTTATTAGGTATAACCCTGTGAGCCATGCGGCTCTTGACTCGGGTGTAACCGCAACAAACAAAAACATGAACAAGAAACATCTTAAAGTGACTCCACGCAACAGAAAAATCCAGGAAAAAACAGCAAAGTCTTCCAGAAAAAAACACCGTATTTCAACGCTGTGTGAAAAAATCCCAGTGGGATGCAAGTCAAACGATAACAACCATAAGACAATTTAGATTAAAGTAATCAGGCTAACTCTGTACTACAACAAACAAACATGGCTACACAAAAACCTTTTAAAAATCACCAAAATAAAGCTATAAAAACAATGCAACAGTGATCATAGGAACTGTGATTCAAATTTAACAATAAACGATAGGGAGATGGTTGGGAGATTTTGTAGCGGAGTTGTGCTGGCAATTTTTTGTTCCATAACTTTAAGTAACAAGTTCCGTTTGTTTTCAATAATACTTCAATAACTTTCTTTTTCACAAGTCAACCAGCTTGTGCTCTTAATTATATAAACAGTTCTGAGGTGAATTCATAACTCATGAAACAGGTCCTAAATCCATTAGTATTTACAATACCCGATTATTCTCCTTTTTTTTACAAACAATCGTGATTAAAGCACTCTGCTGTTTCTTTACATAACAAACGCAACTAGAATAATTAACGCATACTTTGAAAAGTTATATTTTTTTCTCTCTTGTTTCTAATTTTAAAAAATCTGAATAAAGTTTTAACAAAATGTAACATGGTTTGATTTTTTAGAATACAAGTCAGACTTTTTGTAATAGTGCCCAAATTCAATGCAAACATGTTCCAATGTGAACCGAATGTAATAATCCTTGTTGGCTTTCTGCCTTGAGGTTAACGGCGGCGGTTTTAAAACTAATTATCGAGGTGCGACGATTTTCTTCCAATTAAAATTGCCGCAACGAGTTTCTGCCAGGTGTGGATTACTCCACACAAAGTATCCCCCCAACGGAGGCAAATCCAAGGCAGAGCAGTCGGTCCACAGCATTCCCTGTGCTGCCAGGATTATACCGGATGGCTCTGGCATCACGGAGTCATTAAGGCCATGTGACTCATGTCGCACACGGCTGCCTTGAGCCCCCAATGGTCTGCCAGGTGTCACCACGGGAAGCATGTTTGGGCTTGTTATCTTCACACATTTAGTACACTATGAGCTGTATTACCAAAAGTACAGAGGTGCAGACAGCATAGCAAACCTGAAAGCTTAAACAGGAAAGATGTGTTGGCTGGTTTTGGCATGCGAATCTTGTCACATTAACTATTACCGTACAGTATAGCCAATAGGCCCAGGCAATTATTTGCAAAGTGGGGCCCAACCTGCCAAAGCATTTTCCTGCACAGAAGGCTTTTTCAACACGATATTGAAAATAGTTTGTGGGTTCTGACATCCATCGAATTGCTTTGAAACTATCCCAAGGACAAGAATTGGACTAGGTGACGAAGCCTTTGC